TGTAGCGTTTGCCTGATGGTAGGAGTGTGAAGAGTGAGTGTTGCGGATGTGTGCTGTCTTTGATGAGGTTGTGTGTTCTTCGTAGGACCCTGGTTTTGTAAATGTCTTGCAGTGAGGGGAAGGCTGCCCCAGCAATGTGCTGTGAAGTCTTGATCACCCTCTGGAGTGCCTTCCTGTCTTGTGCTGTGAATGTATCAATAAGTATAAGCTAATATTATAAAATGTGTTAATCCAAAATGGGCCAAGTATTTTTATGCAAAGTTACAGGATCTGAATCCTTTTTCCACCATCAGAAAAGTATAGAAGATATGGTTGAGGCATAGCCTAATATAATAACATCACTGAACTAGAAGAAGCAAGATGTAATTTATATATAAAAATCAGAAAACATGCAACAACATAGCTACACTCCTCACATGTTCTCTTTCTTTTCTCCCCTAATTAATCCATTTGACTCCTCCTAAATTAGGAACGACTCATTTGATTTAATGGTGATATCTGTTATTTAAAAACTTTACCCTGGGGCCGCCACTATAGCTCAACTGGTTGAGTTGCCGACCCATGGATTGGGGCTGTAGTCCCTGATGGAGCGGTCATGGGTTCGAATCCATCATATGGCCATTTGCTGCAGGTCCTTCCCACGTTCTTGTCTCACTCGCTACTGTCCTGTCAAATAAAAGCAAGAAGACCAATAAATAGCTTAAATTTTTAAAAAAATGTACCCTCCTTACCTGCAGTGAAGTTATGAACTCCTTAATGCATCAATACTTACAATCCAATCATATAATGTAGATTATTGTGGAAATGGGCTTTAAGTCAAATCAAGTCAGCTTTATTGTCAGTTTTGCCATATGTACAACATACAGATAACTGAAATTGCCATACTCCGAGGCCCCACGGTGCAAAATGAACAGAGAAAAAATATATAAACGTGTAAAAATAGCAAAAAAGAAAAAAAAAAGAAAAAAGAAAAAGGAGAATTTTAGTACTTGACATATAGTTTGATGCTAATACTTTTGTAGGTCTATTTCAGTAAAAATTGAAACTCAGGACTTTTGCTTGTAACAGAGCATTTTCAGTAAAGTAGGCCTTTCTACTTAAGTCCAAGGTCTTAGTGGTGCTCAATCAGTGTCTGAAAAATTATAGAAAATAAGATATTTCTGATTGAGACATAGCCTAATCAAGTGTATAAACTAATTAGAAGGAACATGACATAAATGATTTATCCCCCTCAAACATAATCAGACAACAACACAGCTACACCCCTTACGTGTTTTCTTTTCTCCACTAATAAATCTATGACTCCCCCTAAATTAAGATCGGCTAATTTGACAGGACTATCCCTTTAAGGAAGTCCACGATATAGGGGAACAGTCCATTTTACTTTTTAAAAAAAGGGGGGGGGGGAACTATGTCACTGCTTTGTGAGATTTCCACATTTTAACAACAACAAAAAAACGTTATGTGACGAAAAAAACTTGTTATTGTTATATTTCTCGAGAGGACAAATATCACACTACACCGAGAACCAACATTTAGTCGTTTCACGTGTCTACAAAACACGGTGTTCACCCCCCTTTGGGACTTTTCTATTTATAGCATCAGCTGTTGCAATACAAAGGTTAGCTGCTCAACGTATTGTTTCGCAGATGTGGGCAGCGCACTCACGTTTGTGGTGAAAGGGTGGCGGTGGTTTGATGTCGAGAACGTGAGCGATAAGGAGGAATATGTCGGCGTGAGGAAGCTCCTTTTGTGCTCACGGTAGAGAAACTCGTATCGGTGAGTAGCTTTTCCTGCTGAGACAGAAGAGGTCGTGAATGCAGGCGTCTTGTGTTCGCGCACAGTGCGGGCGAAACCTTCCGTTAGTCCCGAACTACTCTCACTATCAACAACTTACCGTAGCCTAGCTAACGGCCAGCACGTTACTTCGGCTAATGACAGCGCCGTAAACAGTCACGGCGAATTAGCTATTTGTAATTACGCCACCGTAATACGTTTGCGGAATTGATTTTTTGCTGCAAACTTGAAGAAAAAAAAATGAAGCCGTTATTTAGGGGCGGCTACTGTCGGTTTTCCATACGGCCGCTGTCTGTCTCTCTCACACACACCCGGGCCTTGGCTCTGTGTGTCAAAGATTTTATCCCCGTAGGGACGAAGCAAAAACACACAGTTTGGCCTTTCTCGTCTGTACTGTATTTTCAATGACGGTGACTGTGCACACACGGCGGTGTCCGGCTCTGGAGCAGAAATGGTGCTGGGCACGGAGAACAGAGAGATTCTTTATGTATCAAATCATAGGATGAGATCATTCAGAAGCACCAGTCAGTCTGCAGAAACACACACACACACACACACACACGCACACACACACCCGCACACAACCCACTGCACATGCACGCAGTCGCACAAACACACACACGCTTTAATCACTATTAATAGCACAGTGAAATCATCAGGTCACTTGGCTGTCTGGAGACAGACAAGTCTTTATCTTTCTATCGTAACTTCACAGAAATGCCAAACCCGCCTGCTGCTGCTGCTAATGATGATAATGGTGATGATCATGAGGTTGCTGCTTGGTTTGCTGACTTTTAAATGCTGTTTGACCCCTTTCCCAACAGGGAAATCATATTTGCATGACTTTAAGATTGTGCTGCTTCTCTGTCTAGATCTATAGTACAAGCTGGGTATTGCTGCTGCTTATTAAATGATGATTCCTGTGAGCCTCAGATTGACACTTGGTGTTTCACCTTGATGGCAATTCTGACAGTTCACATTGTAACTGAAGCTTGGCCTAAATTTTAGGAAAATAGGCTTTTTGAACAGAATGCTGCAGGATTAGGTATTGGGCAAAAAAAAATCTATCCACAGTGATTCGATGCGATGGTCTTGTGCTCAAGAATTATATATCTTTGCAGTATTCAAGAGCAAAAGCCCAGTTAACATGTGAATGATAGTAACCACATGAGTGATGATATACCTCTTCTGAAACTGAATGTTTGTCAGAGTTGAAGTTCAGAAAAGTCACAGTGTGACAAAAGTGCGACCACAGATTAGCTGTTTGCAGTTTCTTTGTTTGCCACTGTTTTTTTTGTATTTTTTTTTAAGTCAAAGTATACAATAATATTGCATAGTATTCATATACATAACTGCTTGCTGCTTTTGGACTCATTCTGACATTTTTGTTGTCACTAGGGCTAAAAAAAATCAAATATTGATATTGTATATCAATATGCACATATAATAATACCAGATACATTCCAGCACCACTAACTATTAGGGCGGCAACTAACAATTGTGTCCATTATCGATTAGTTTTTTGATCTATAAAATATCAGAAAATGGAGAGAAATGTCAATCAGTGCTTCCCAAAGTTCAAGGTGATGCACTCAAAGGTCTTGTTTTGTCCACAACTCTACAGTATTCAGTTTTCTGTCATATAAGTCAACGGAACCAGAACATGTTTAAATATAAGAATCTGAAAATTGTAACTTTTTTTTCTTTAAAAAGAATTGAAACCAATTATTCATTATTTAAATAGTTGACAATTCATTTAATGTGCAAATAGTTGCCATGGTGATGGCGATAGATGCAGCAGCCACTTCAGGAAACAACGAAAGTGAACATTTTGAGTGTCTCGTCTATCTCAGACGTTCATTCTGCAAAACGTGCGACCGGGAGATTTTGGTGGGCGTCAGGTCAGTGAATGGTGCTGTAATTGCAGCGATTGGTTGTGATTTGGATATATTACACCATCACGGAGTCCGCTCGGAGACTACGAGTTACCCGAGAGCGAAGGAAGTGCAAACGGTACGAACGTAAACAAAGGAGGAGGAAGGGGCCATGATCCATGTGAAGCTTAAGGCTAACCTCTCCGGACCAGCAGTACCGTCGCTCCTGCTCTCCAATGTCCGCTCCCTTGACAACAAGCTGGACGAGCTACATTTGCTGGGAGAAACCCGCAGAGAGTGGAAAGACTGCTGTATGTTTGCTTTTACAGAAGCGTGGCTCCATGACAACATCCCAGATGGACATACAGCTGGAGGGGATGCAGACAGACAGACAGCTAGCTCTGAGCACCATCGTCACACCATCGTGTGTGTCTTTGTGTCCCTACCAGGACCTGAAGAGGTTCATCATGTTCAACGAATGGGCGCGCGCGAGACAGCGACAGCGAACGTTTAGTGTCTTATCCCAGACGTGCATTCCACAAAACTTGCTGGTTGAACAATCTTGAAGAAACACTCTCTCATCATGCCTGTTCTACTGTGCGTGTACAGCAAAATGACAATAAACCTGATTTGATTTGATTTTGAAATCAACACACAGTGGCTCTCTCCAACTGTTTTAAGTGGAATTCTGTAACCAAAAAAGAGACGATGCAAAATAAACAAAGTCAAAGATGACTTTGACAATAACACTACTATACATCTTTCAAAATTTCTATAGATATTGCAAAAAAATCGGTATTGTGAAGTCTTGTGGCCATGATAATTGTGTGTGATTGTTTGATAATGTTTCAACATAGAATAGACAGAAATCAAGGAGGCAATATCTCTACTCTGTCCGTCTGTGTTTAAGATATGTGAGCAAAGTTAACGATATGTGAAGCTATCTTTAATTAAACAACAGATTTCCAAAATATGTGTTCCTATTTCAGTCAGTCACACAGTGGATCCCAGCCGACTCTTAAGACCTCCTTTGAATGATTGACGAGTGCTGATATGAACACTACAGTACAGACTGGGGTGTGCCCTGCTGTGTTCTTCCTTATTTCTGTTCTGTGAGTTGTGCTGCTGCTTTGTTCCCACGTGAAGAAGGAAATCCCTTTATCCTTTCTCAAGACAGCAACTAGCCACTTCTAAAGGGCCCAGAGAGGCTTCATGGACCCACCGTAAAGTCAAAACGTAAGGTCCAAAACACAACAGCTGTAGCTATTTTATATCTAAGTGTACACAACAGTCGCGTTGTGTTCGTGTAAACAGTGCTGCAAACTGGCAGAATGTGTGACTGTTTGAAGCCGTTTTTTGATCTTTTGGCTGTCTCAGTGAATGAGGGGGGAGGAGAGATGATTGGCTGTTAAAGTGAGAAAACACAAATGCTGCGTTCAGCACAGCACATCAAGTTCACTTTAGATGCTTTATGTAATAATTTACATGCTCTGCGGCCTTCTTGACATAAAACACTGCTGCACATCCAGTGTGTTCTTCAAGGCAACCAGCAATTTCGTATATTTGCTCTAATGTAACGCCAATGTGTTGTGGAAAGTAGTTTTGATGATTTTAAAATCAAGCTTTCTCTGATTAGCAAACATTGGGTTTATAGCAGGAAAGACTGTCAAAAATTAAAGTTGTATCGTAATATGGATCATTTTCACCTGTTAAGCATCAAACATGGCTTTGACCATGTTAGTGTTTCCTAAAGCATGCAAAGGCCCACACACTAAAGAACAGAGGTGAATTCTTTCCTTACTGTTTATTGGACACAAACACAATTGTGGATTGCAGGCATCATCTCTTAAGGAGTATCTCTCTGTTTTCTTCTTTTTCATCTCATCACTCATTCTGCATTTTAATACACAGTAGGCAAACACACAGTTTGTGTTATGATGGTGAGGGGTGTTTCAGAGAACTGTTTGCCCCAATAAATACACCCAAAGACGGAAATTCTGACACACCCGTCAAGGTTATGACCTGACTTGGCTTCAGCGAGACCATGCATGCATGACTAGTGTGAAAACCACTGGTAGCAGGTACTGTGATTTCATGGTACTTCTCAAGCTGTTGTGTTTTTGTTTTCCTCCGCAGTCCTGAAATGTGTCTTTGGCCAAGTCTTTCGAAATGGTGTGGTATAGATGCCTGTTTCGTGACTTTGTGACAGCCAGCCAACTAAATGACTAAAGAAGCTTTTCAACATCAGGAATTTGGCTCTGAAATTCTTTGCTCAACCTGGCTGGCCAACTGCTGCACACTCACTGATTGACTGACTGGCTTTGGAAAGGAAGGAAACTTCTTCCTTCCCTTCATTGTGCTGGGCAGGAAAGGATGGACTTTAGCCAGCTGACAGCTGTTTCCTGGTGGATGAAGGAGGAATGGGTGCGTGGGTGGGTGGTGGGGGTGTTACATTGGGAGTAAGCGAATGTGTGGCTTTTTTGTCTGCTTTTACTGCAATTTAATGAAAACTATAAATCTGAAGTTTGCAAGGAAGAAATAGTAGATGGGTTCATACTTTATAATTCCTTATTTGTATTAAGAGTAGGAATGGCTTGGCTTAACCGCTTCATTTCAAATTGCATTTACTAATTATTTAAGCAATATACTCAAGCCCACAGTTGCTCTGCAGATTCACATTTAATGAATTCATATAAATATACGAATATGTTAAATTTAAGTTAGCTGATTATAAAGCTTATTTTAGCATACATTAATATCGTGCTAAAGTGTGCAAGGGCAAGTTTTTATTCCGTTTAAATATGTAGTTGATGTAAAACTTGCCAACGTGGTGACACACTATCAAAATTCTAAATAAATGAACAGTGATAAGATCATTAGCCTGTCCTCGAAGCATGTCAGGATGTCACGTCACTGACCTTGGTAACCACTGCTTCAGAGGACTCTTATTAATCCCGTCTTCTGCCTTCTAAAAATTGCCATTTCCCATACATCAGCATAATTTCTGTGGGATTTTGGTTGTATGGGACACACGACAAATATGTTTGTAATCTACATGTCTTTGCCATTTATTGCTTTCTAATTGTCACCTATTTTCAGCCACTCAGTCACATATTAGATTGGGCAGGATGTGTCAAGAAAATGGAGAGGAAAAGTTATATTTTACCTCAAACCATGATGTTTTTTCTAAATGTAACCAAGTAGTGGTGCCTCAACCCACAGTTTCCGGGGGGAAAGTCTTGTGTCAAATCTATGCCTCCAACTCTCATCCTGATGTACACTTTGCGCCACTTTGAAAGTGGAAACGTTTCCTACTTTGTCATTCTGTTTCCTTATCAGTGCAAAATACATTTCTTTTGAAACATAACTGAGAATGCAGTTAAGTTGTATAGGAACATGATTTTTGGGGGAGAGGATTTCTCATAAACAAAACCAGGATGCTCTCAAAAAACAATGACTGATTGGACCAAGTTGAATTGAGTCGGTTTTAGTCTGCGCCATTGGAAGATGTAATTGCATGAAAGTAGTGTGAAAAGTTCACTCGTTTGCTCATCAAGTCGTGGCTCAACACTGGAAAGATTGTTTAAAACTTGTTTGAATTTTGAGTCTGGGAACGGTTGTTAATGTCTTTTATCTGGAGAAATGATAAAAGAATGGGCCGAAAAACGGGAAGCTAGCTATAAAATAGCTCCGTCTTTTGTAGT